CCTGCCTTTTAAGCCAAACAAGCCCGCGTTTTTTAAGCCTTACTATTGCTAAACGTAAGCCTTAAAGATAACCATTTTCAGGCCATATTTCCGCTCCGCCGTTCCGCCTGTGCGAGCCTTAAGAATGTCAGGCTTCGAGCCTTAAAAACTTAAGGTCCATTTTTAAGGTTAACACGAGGCTTAAAAAGGTTAAGGTTAGGCTATTAAAATTTGGTCTGTGTCAGGCTAAAAATTTAGACCAAAATTAGGTTATTGTCGGGCCAGACGTTTTCGTACGGGAGAGTTGACGGAATTTTATAATCCAAAGAGATTTTGTGATAAAAATAAGAATTATTGTATCTATAACAAAACTCTCAAACGTGATTGGTTCTCCATGCACCTTTTTGTCACGTAATCGGCGTGCGATCATGTGGGTGTCCAATTACAGGTATCCAATTTGAACTTTTTGTAATTGGATACCTGTAATTGAATTCCCTCTTGATTGGGACATCAATTATGTGCGCTTTAATGGCTTCCTTCGCAATGTTTCCTACAGTTTTCAAAACTTAGAAAAGCACTAGACATTTTTGCTCAAAATAGGTTCTCAAAAGAATTTTTAATTCCGAAATTTCTTATAGATACGATTAATTAGTAATTGGACCTTGTGTCGTACAATTCAGGGAGTAATTGTGCTTGTAATTTCAAATCGGCCTCGCACTTCACGCTTGTCCGATTTTGAAATTACTTGCGTGATTTCTCCCGGAATTGTACTCCAGAGTTTATGAGCTCACTTGTAGTTCTTCCAGGGCAAACAGCAATAGTAGATGTATCTTATGTTTACTTGCTTGGCAAAGGAAAAGTTGACTGGAAGTTAATGGACCTCTTTCCGGCACTTGCAATATCTCAAGCTCTCTATAATTTATAATGAAGTTTAACCTTAAAAGTTATGGGGTATATTTCATGTAGAACTGATGTATAAAACATGTATTATACATAGCTAGGGGAGGGGGGCATCGGGGTATATTAGAAACCACAAAACCGAAGAAAAAATCATCCAAAACCGCAAAACTGCAAAAAAATTCACCCAAAACCGAAAACCGCATACAAAACCTTCAAAAACTGGTACATGTGCAATGGTGAGCAAACTACACTAAGTCACTAATTTTATCAAAGTATTTGTGAATGTCATGGACTTGTCTGAAGCCTTCGCATCTTTTAGTATCTTTTAGCTTCTGCAGGCTTCTCTCTTCCCTTTTCACTTTGCATCTAAATGTGTTTTTCTTTTGAAAATTCTTGCCACCTTTCCCCTCCTCGCAAAAAAAACGCAACACAATCCACAGTTGCTTCTTCCGTTGCTGGCACGGTAGGCATCCTGGTCTGCGAGGTCAAAGTCTCGGGCATGGTTCGAGATGTGTGATCCCCTACCATGACATTTAGATTGTCATGCATTCCTCTCAATAACTTTGGCATTTCGCGACTATTCGAGATCAATTGCTGCTCAAATTGAAGAGAAACTGGAACCCAAATAGGACAAAAAAGGAAAAACCAGAGCGCTTGTCAGGAATAACAATCTCGCCCCTTTTCTGTGGCTGTTTACGTGAAAAGAACACGCACTTGGTGCGTTAGGATGATACTACAGATATGATATATTGTGGAAGGTAACTTATATTGTAATTTAATTGATGTGGGTATATTGCAAAATAGGCACAATATGGCTTTTTTATGAGGTTTTCTTCATATCGTAGGTGTCGACATTTTCCAGATTTAGTTGAATTTCATGAATTTTTTGCCACAATTCCAGTAGCTTTACTTCTTAGAGCGTGTTTTAAAAATAAGAAAGTTTGTGTTGACAAGTGTTCTGATTGACCAAAACTATGTCGCCGTAGTTGTGATCTTAATGACATTTAAATCAAACACAGAAACAGATATCTTTGTTTCTCTACAATACATCATTTCAGTAAGACTTAGGAACATTTAAGTCCCCAATTATTTTTACCTGCATGACATTTTAGTTTCCTTTTCTTTCCATGTCACGAAAGAAAATTTAGTTTCGAGAAGTTATTTTTGCTGCACATGTTTACCTTGTGAATTACAAGCGTTTATCCTGATAACATTTATACTCACTATGTCAATAAATCACTATCAATAAATCACTCTGAAATGGAAAACAGTATCATTTCTTTGTTGAACTAAACAAAACTAACTGCTTCCATCGGCTTAAAATATCGCATTGGTGGACAAATTGCGTGGTGTGGTGGTGTCTCTACTGTGAAAATAAATTTCTTTTTCACTATCACCATCAAGTCCAGTTCGCAGTTTTCTTGTGTAAGATAATACTGAGAAACGAGAGTTTCACTGAAATGTTGCAAATGACACATTTTGTTGGTATGCAGTGAGTTTTGGCTGAAATTTTGCCACCATATTTACATTAACAATTACAAACTTTACTCTGATTGGATATTACAAATCACTATGTAAATAGTTTACCCCTGAACTGAAAACAATACAGTTTTGTTTCTAAGGAAATGAAACAAAAATCCCAATGGCCCCCTCCCATCTGGGCAAGTTTTTTCAATATAATTAATTCATTACAAATGCGTGTAGGGATTTCTTTTTCTCCCTCTCTAGATCTTGTCCTATGGAAGGAAGGCATGATACATAATTTACAGATAATTCTGAATTTTCTCTGATTGGTTGAGAATCAATAATTATGAGTGGCTGTGATATTTCAACAAGACTTTAATTCTGGTCAGAAGCTGGTGAGATGGAAATGAAATGGTGCAGAAGGTAGAGAGTTTATGGCTAGGATGAGTTTTCTTCTGTGTTAGCCAAAGCCCTGCAAATAATTATTAAAATATAATTATCTGAAGGCAGGGCAGATTAAGAGCATGCTGTAATGTACTATATACACGCGAAGATGCTTTTGGTGGTTTTCCTAATGTTTCAGGAAAAATGTAATTTACCCATGCAATGACTCCAAAAGTGTTGGAGTCCATATTATTACATGTAGTGGACACCTAAGCTTGAGTCCCTATTTCTTCCCACATTTACAGTAAAGGGCAATTCCACATGAGACATCTAAAAAGTGAAAATTTTCATATCCTATTCCCCTTATTTAAACTTATACTAGCAGATAGCTAATATACTGAGCTGTTTAGAATTACCAACTTTTTGCACTTATTGACCACACCCACTCGCTGGGAAGCTTTGGAATTTGGGATATTTGAATACCATTATTTTGAAAATTCTTGAAGGGAACATAAAGAAAGTAATTTGAAAACACTACCATTATCTACAAAGTCATTGGGGTATGTGTGGTTAGAATTAACCTTAAGCAATCATGGGGCTATGAATAATTTCCCATGTACTTGACTTATTCTGGGAAAAAAGTATTTAATTTGTGTTGCGGACATTATGTAATGTCCGCAAGGCTTTTTTTTTTCAATTTTTGAAAAGGATTTACACTACTTTCAGGAACTATTCAAGCTGTTCTTTTAGTTTGATATTAGCATTATTTTAGTGAAAAAGGTTGGCCAGACAGGTTTTCTGTGTCCAGAAATTAAGGTGGCTAAAGCGTTGCGGACATTACATTACGGACACAACAAAATCTTTATCTTACTTTTATGACAAATAATAGAGCTCTGAAAAGAATATGATTTATTTTAAGTATCAGTTCCAACACTAAGCAATTCAAATGAACCTTTTTCATTTTAAAGAATCAATGTCAATGTTAAATACTATGACTTAAATCAGTGTCAATTACCAATAATATTTATCATAACAGCACAATCAAGCTAAAAGTTTTATACCAAATGTTTTCAACCAACAGTTGCTTGATTAAATTCAAAAGCTTCAAATTGAGCATGCTCAAACTGGCTTGTGAGCATGCTCTCTGGAAGAAGGCCACTGACAAACTGCAAATCTTTAACTTTCCTATTCTGACAAAGGCAGCACAAAGAGCAAGGAGTAAAACTTGAATTCAAGAACAAAATTATAGCAGTTGCCTGAAGTTAGTGCATTTTAGGTTTATTTATCTTAAAAGCTTCAGATTAATAATTGAAAAAGCACAGTTTATTAATTTTTTAGAGAAAAAAAT